TCCCCAGCCTGCGCCGCTCGGCGCGTTGCGCCGCCCGCCAGGCCGCTGCTCGCCGAGTTGGCGCTGTGGGAGCGCACCGCGGACGGCCGAGCCGGCGGCAGCCCGCTGCCCTCGTCAGCCGCCGGCGCCGCGGCGCCGACGTCGCCGCCGTGCAGCGCGGGCGGCGTGGCGCCGCTGCTGGAACGGCTGCAAGACAGCGCCGGCTCAGCCCCGGCAGGCGCCGCCGCAACGGGGGCGCCCGGCGCGCCAGGCGCGGTCGGCGCGGCGTCGGTGTCGTCGTCTGCGTCGCCGTCGGCGGCGCGGTGCTGCTGCTGGCGCTCAAGCGCCGAGGAGATCATCCGCTGGCTGCTGAAGCTCAGGCGCCCGGACCCCGCGCTGCCGCCGTCGGCGCGGCGGCGGAACACCAGCATCCGCCGCTTGTGCGGCTCCGCGGCCGTCTCCGCCGCTGGCGCCGGCTGCGGCGCGCAGGCGGGCGGCGCGGCGGGGGTCGCCGGGTCGCCCTGGGGCTGGGGAGTGCTGAAGCTGCCGGGGGCGCTTGGATGCTGCGGCAGCAACGTATGGTGATGGTTGTGGTGGGTCTGGGCGCTGGGCGCTCGCGAGCCGCTCAGGAGTGCGGCTGTCTTCGCCTTTAGCCCCTGCAGCAGGCCTGCCAGCGCGCCCTGCGACACGTGCGTCTGCGGCGCAAATGGCGCTTGCTGGCGCAGCTGCGCCTCCATCTGCTGCTGCTGCTGCTGCTGCTGCTGCAGCCGCGCCTGCGCTTGCGCCTGCTCTTGTTGCTCAAGCAGTTGAAGCTCTTGTTGCATCTGGAGCTGGAGTTGTGCTTGTTGCAGCTGCAGCTGCTGCTGCTGCTGCAGCAGCAACTGGCCCTGGTGCATGGCACTCGGCCGCATCGCCGTAGGCAGGTCAATGCTGCTGACTAGCCCGGCAGTCTCAAAGCTGTTACTGCCCGACCCCATCAGCGGCTGCATGAACGCCCGCCCATCCTCGGCCCGCCACGGCGCGCACGGCGCGGTGTGCGAGTGTGCCGCCGAGCCGGTGCCCGCCGCCCCAAGCGCGACGGGCGCCCACGGCTGCAGCAGCGCTGCGGCTGACTGGCCCTGCTGCTGCGAGTGCGGCGCGCCGGCCACCCCGCTCCAAGTGGCCTCAAGGCTTGCGCAAACCTCAAAGTCCATTGCGGCACCGCCATAGCATGCGTCGAGCTGCGGCCGCGCCGCCGCAGCCGCGGCGCCGGCCACAGCCGCAGCCGCAGCCGCAGCCACACCCGCAAACCCGGCGCCTGAGCCCGCCGCGCGGGCGAAGCGCGGCGCGCTCTCTGCGCCGTCGGCGCCGCCATCGGGGCTGGCGGCGCCGGGCGGCGCGGCGACGCTCATTTCCAGCTCCAGAGGCGGCGGCCGCTTGAGCCGCCGGTCGGGGCCGTCGCGCGCGCGGCGGCAGGGCACGGTGACAGAGTCAGGCAGGGAGTAGAGCCCGGTCGGCGGGCACGGCGGCGGCGCAGCCCGGTGCTCCTGCTGCGTCTGCAGCTGGCCGGCCTGCCGCTGCTGCTGTTGCTGTTGCTGCTGCTGCAGCGCGGAGAGCGCGTCGGCTGGCGTCGCCAGTATGCCGCTCGCGAAATAGGCGTCGACATGCGCGGCGCGCGCGTGTGGGGCGGCGCCTCCGAAGCGCACGGGCAGCTGCAGCGACCCGATGTCATCATCGGCAGAGGACAGGCCGCGCATCGCGGCGGTGAGGGACGCGCAGCTGCTGCGCGCGGTGTGGAAGCTGCCGGGGAGGGC